AAAAAATCAGGCACAAAAGATTTCCCCTTTATATGTCTCTTTTGCCAGGTATCTGTGCACTTTAATACACAACTTCCATCTGCAGCTTCTCTAATCCTGGTCTACACACGCTGACAGGGGATTCAGATGTGGCTCCTAAGTAATCCCTGCTGCCCAACAGCACTGAACCCATGGGGCCCACACGTCACCTCCAATCTATGTCTAGGAGTGAAGCCCTTCCCAGCACCATGCCCCATAGAGCCTCTTCCGAAGTTCCAAGTCACTGGGTCACAGTGAGATGGAATCTAAGTGGAGATGAGAGGGACTGAGGGAAGGCATGGGTGAGTGCGAGCAAACATGTCAGGCAGGACACTTCAGCGTCAGAGAAGATGAGCAATTGCAGTGCCCGCATTTCAGAAAGGAAGGAGACGCAGAACAATCAACCGAGAACACCGCTTTACCTGAGGAAGAGCCATTCCTGACTCCTTTTCTTTCCACCTCCTCTTCTTCTAGGCTTCCTCCTCATGTAACATGAGTGTTAACAAATCAATCCTGAAAGAGGAAACGGTGCTGTTTAATGCTTAGATACACCTCCTTCCTATGCCACTACCACACACATAGGGAAGACCTTACAATGTGGAAAGATGGTCCCTCTGCTGCCCACTGCACCAGGGTAGGATGCAGGGACAACAAACTCCTACAGGAAGAAAAGAACAAGTGAGTTTTTGCCCCTTTCNAGGATGCAGGGACAACAAACTCCTACAGGAAGAAAAGAACAAGTGAGTTTTTGCCCCTTTCTTCAGCCTTCTCTTTCCTCCTGGTGAATCCTACTGGTGAATATTTGCTGCAGCAGTGGGGAGCTGGCTAGACTGATCTCCCCTTCAGGGCACAGACCCAGGTCTGACCAAATCCCATGCAGATCACAGACCCCTCACCCCTCCATGGATCACAGGATGATCTCAGTCCTCAGAAAATGAGGACACAGAGCTTTGGTGCACACATTAGAATCATCTGGGACACAATAAATGGTATTGAGGCTGGACCCCAATCTGACTGTGCAAATGGGATTCTCTGGTAAAGGGGCACAAAACACTTTTGCAACATGCCTCAGCACTTTAATTGAAGCCAGGGTTGAGCACCACTTAGAGGGGTAAGCCCAGCACACCTACCACCTTCTGGCTCTGCTCTCCTTTGGGGGCCTTGTTGTCAACAGTATCCAGACAGTGACAGGTGAAGGAGCAGAAACAAACATGCGGAGCAGGCAACATGGACCACAGGTGGGTGAGGGTGAGCCTGGAATGGTAACTGTCAGTACGGGGGGTGGGGTGGGGGGGGAAGGTCCCCGTGCTTCCTCCCTGCTGTGTTTCCTCCTCCTCTCTCCTTGTCACCCTCTGCTACTGCATTCTGTCCCACAACCTCACTGTTCAGTCTGCCATGGCTCCAATGCTTTCGCCCTCTCCCGCTACTTTCTGTCCCTGTTTTGCTTCCCTTCACCTCTCTGAAAATCCAGCTTTTCTCTATGTTCTTTTCTCTACCCGCCCCTCTCTCAGCTTATTCTTTCTCTCATTGCTAGTCCCTCATCTATCCTGTAGTTTACCATCTCTTTTTTAACATTTACTCATACATATTGGTGGGGTACAGTGTGTTATCTCAATACATGCATATACTGCACAATGACTCACTTATACCGTAGATGGCATAGTTTGTACCCATTATTCCACGCCTCTCCTCTCTCACCCACCCACCCCCCACCTGTCTCCCCCGCTTGGTAACAAGTATTCTACTATCTATTTCTATCAGAACCTCTTTTTTCTTTCTTTTTTTGTTTTTAAGATTCCACATATGAGTGACATCTGGCGGTGTTCACCTTTCTGTGCTTGCCTTACTTAACATGATGATTTTCCAGTTCCATCCATGTTGCTGCAAATAATAGCACATCCTTTTTTTTTTTTTAACAGACGAACAGTATCCCATGGTCTATCTCTTTATGGTTCTTCCTCATCCTTTCCTCCCTCTTGGTTATTTCTACTCCTCTCAGTCACTCTCTTTCTCCTCATCCCCTTTACCCACACATTCATAGGGAGGGGAATGGAATAAAAGTCCTGCATCCCTGAAGAGCACATTTTCCAGTGGGGTGAAATTTGGGGCTTAAGAACACTGCAGGTCACAAGAAAGGCCAAAGTCACCTCTTCGGCACAGAGGGTAGACGGCGAACGGGAGGGCCAGGAAGCTGAAGAATCTGGCCTGAGAAGGACGTGAGGTGGTGACTGAGGCCCGCAGTGGCGTCTGCAGAGTCGCAGGGTCCGGGAGAGGTCGCCGCCTCTCGGATTGGGGCGGCCAACGCCGTCTCCAGGAGCCGATAAGGGGAAGACGGGAGTGCAGAGTGCGTGAACCCACCTCTCTGGTGAGGACTTAAAAGGGCAGCGGGGGCGGGAAGGGCACTAAAGGGTTTAAGCAGGAATAGGACGGGAAAGGGGGTGTCTACATGGCATGAAGGCAGAAAGACCAGCGACAGGACCAGAGTCAGAGCGATGTGAACCCAAAAGGAATCGACCCCGGTGCTTCCACGGCGACGAGAATATATTCGTACTTGGGGTGGAGACGGTGGTGCGGAGGCCTTAAGGCCAGTAGAACCCCAGACCCCACGTATGGCCAATAGAGGGCTGGGAAAATCAATTTTGATTTAGATAAAGAAGAACTTACGTGCGACAGCTCGAACTCCGCGGCGCGCCACTCGCTTCCGGGTTTGCAGAAAATGGCTCCACAGGGAAGCGGCCCGCGGCCTGTGGGCGGAGCCGACCGGCCAGGGGCGGGGCATGGGGCGAGGCCGGGCGGGGTCCCGGAGGGGGNGCGGCCGGCGGCCTGTGGGCGGAGCCGACCGGCCAGGGGCGGGGCATGGGGCGAGGCCGGGCGGGGTCCCCGAGGGGGACGGCAAGGGGCGGGGCCTGTGCCCGTCTCTGCTTCTCTCCTGCACGTCCTGTCTTTCCAGTTTGGGACGCTTTGAACCAGTTTCGCGGCCTGTGGAGCATCTTTGCTGCCTGCCTATTTCAAGTTAACGTTTCACACAGTTTGCAGATAAAAGCTGAGGGTTATGCAGGCAGCTTATACTGCTAACCGGGGTGTTTGCCTCCTAACTTGAAATCGTGTTGCGGAAAGGAGTCTCCAGGAAGACTCAGTCACTCAGAGAGGAGGAGAAGTCAGATAATTTACTGCCCGCAGGCATCAGGGGAACTCATGTTCCAAATCCTGAGCGCAGAATGTAGGGGGAATGAGACTTCAATACTTTTCTTGAGCAAAGTAAGCCAGTGTTCCTATTGGCTCCTTTGCCTGCATCCAGGCAGAACAGGTGGTTAACTCCGCCACTGGCTTTGGGTAAGGAGGGTCTTCACGGAGACGGGGGATGTGGTCGGGAGGTTACTGCTATGTCGGCTAGAAAGCAAGTCAGTCTCTCTTCTACCCAGGAAACTGCTGGCAGGATTGTGGTTTTAGCTAAGTATCAGTAAGCCTGACCACAGAGTCACGGAGCTCAGAAGCTGCGTCTTAATATTCAGTGATGAACATAACTTTAAACATTTCTTACAAGCAAGCATATTCCTACTGGAAAACTAATATAAGGATTAAAATCAGGAAAGGACAAGGAATTCAGTCACTTCAATCGGTTTACGTGAAAAGCTCTTTTTGCCAGCCAGTTGGATGCAGTTCCTGCTAGTGAGGCTGAAGCAACTCAGAGATCTGGACCTGGCACCTCTGTGGTGGTCAGTCTGGGATGGTGATTGCACTCAAGAAAGTTCCTGCAAATTAATTAAATTTAAGCAATTTAATTAAGAAGCCGTGGAATTGTGTGTGAAGG